GTCTTAGATCTGGCGGAGCAAACACGGAGGGTTTTTGGTACTTTGGATCAACAGGGCCTTACAGCTGCGTTGAGTGCTTGTGAGAGATTTTCGACATGGCACGAGGCCCTGCGACTCATTCAGTCGGACGAACGTGAAGACTTGGATGTCATCTCCTTTACTGCAGCCATCAAGATCTGTGGCTCATCTCTTCAATGGCAGTTCGCTCTGCATTTTCTTCAAAAGATGTCTTCAATGGCAGTCCGTCCCAACTGTGTGACCTATGGCGCAGTACTAAGTGCATGTGAGAAAGCAAGTACTACATACTCATCTCACTGGACTTTTGCTTTGCAGCTCGTTGTCGACGCAAGCACCCAGAACTTGTCAAGTGACATCATGTTTAGTACATCAATCAGTGCCTGTGAGAAATCAAGTCAGTGGCAAAAAGCTGTTTTGGAGCTGGAGACGCTGAAGAAGAACAAGAGGAAACTTCAAGCTTACAGTTTCAACCCTGTGATGGCTGGATGCGTTAGCAGTTCTCATTGGAAGAACGCTTGGGAACTATATGAAAAAATGCCACAGCTTCGACTACTTCCAGATTCGTTTACCTACACAGCTTTGATGAAGACTGGAGCAAGCGAGGGAGGGACTGGAGCGACTTCTGGAGCGACTTTGTGGCAACGGGAACTTGTCCTCTTAAAGAATGCTTTCGTGAGCCAACGCGAAAGTGAGGAGGATAGAAGACAGAACCAAAAAGGAACCAAGCAAGAAAGACAAGTGGCTACTGTTGCGGTGGCGGACGAACCGAGTGTGAAGCTCTTGGCTGCTGTCGTGAAGAAGTTCTTCACCGAGGCCTCGTCCGCCTGGTGTCAAGCCTTACTTTTGGCCGAGAGAGTCCGAAGAGGACGAAGAGGACATCTGTTTACATGGCCTTACTAGTAGTAACAAGTGCCTTACTAGTAGTAACAAGTGCCTTACTAGGAAGACATACTAAGTAGCGAACCTTGCTCCTAGTAAGGCCAGGAACCTCCGTTCGTAGCGTCTTGGCACAGGAAAAGAGCGACTCGAAGACGACTCGAAGAATGAGGAGCGTTTCTTCGTGAGTTTGGCCACAGGCCTTTCAGACCGGACCGAGACTTGGAGGACGAACCTCTCTTTGTTGCGGTTCTGTCCTCCAAGTCTCATCAGCTGTAGTGCTGCCATCAACTGTCTCAAGGGTTCCACCTCGTGGGCAAAGGCTCTTCAAACTCTTCTTCTCATGCTCGACTTGGCCCTTCTTCCGAACGCCGTAACGTGCAGTTCGATCATTGCTGCATGCGACAAAGGCTTCCAATGGCGCTTCGCACTGCGTGTGTTTGCGGATATGGCAAGGAAGCGCATCGCAGATAGAATCGCCTATGGCTCGATCATCACAGCAATTGGCACGTCCGGTGAATGGTCTTTGGCCCTAAACTCTCTCGCTGTTCTTGAGAGATCTGCAGACTGCACAGCAGACTGCACTGCAGACGGTGCAGCAGTTGTTGCCTGTGAGAGGGGCTGCCAATGGCAAGTTGCGTCGCATCTCTTGCACAAGACTTCGCAGCGGCTGCGCTTTGATGCTAAGAGCAACATGGCAGTGATAGAAACAACGCACGCGTGCTTTTGTGATTTGTTGCTAACTTTTCTGAACTTGCGGCTGGATCAGCTTGTTGGACTGTGCCAATGTTTGCGACAGGTTTGTAGTGCAAACTTTGTTTCAGCAAACATGCAAAGCAGGCTCATTGCTTTGGCTGATACTTTGCAAATGGGTGTGTTGGAAGATGTAAGAGCTTCTGGCTACGTTGGCTATTGGTCCACTTATAGGATGAATTTGCATCATATGTTTAACCACTCGGCAGGTGATGCGAGCTTGGGCCCTGTGTTTTTCTTAATAGACCTGTCTTTTCTTCCTGTTGTTTTTTCTGTTATTAGTATTCAAGACCTTTTGTACGCTGTTCTTTGATTCTTCGTTTCTTAGCTGTCTTCCATTTTCTTGCTTTCTTGATGTTAGGAAGCAGTTTTGTGATGTGCATGCACAGTTTTACGTACTTGGTTCCCTCTTCTTGTTTTCCGATACGTTCATCCTTTGCAAGGTTGCAGTGCTGCAATCAGCGCATGTGAAAATTGCGGAGAATGGGAGATTGCAACGGCTCTGTTCGACTTTATGCTCTCTTACCGATCAGAGCCAGACATTTTCACTTGCAGTGCAACGATCAGTGCACTTGCTGGTGAGAAATGGTTTTGGGCATCGCAGCTTTTGGTAAACACCCGGTTGATACAGTGTATACAGTTGAATGGCGTTTCATTCAGTGCGGCCATTAGTGCTTGCCATCCTCAGAAATGGGAACAAGCTTCTGACTTGCTTCGCCAGATCTCATTGCGGCGTTTGAAGGACGAGACAGATGACATCTCTTGCACAGCTGTCATTGGTTGTCTTGGTCAGTCAAGCCAATGGCAATGTGCTTTGGATTTCTGTCGCCAAGAGTTCACAGAATTCACCTTTGGTGCAGCAATTGGTGCCTGTGCCAAAGCTTGCCAGACTCAAGGGACAAAATGAGCGGAGAAAAAATCCGTCGAAATGAATTCAGTTCTTTCACTTCATATTCAGATCTGGAATTCTTTCACATTCAGATTCAGATCCTAGGAACAAGAATCCTTGGGAATCGTTTCAGTTGCAGTAACAAGAAGCTACTAGTAACAAGGGCATTACTACAAGGAGCAAGGATGCTACTAGGGGCACTCCTGGCATCACTACTAGTAATAAGAAGCAACGAACGTAACAACAAAGGGCATCGCTACTAGGAGCAAAGACGCTACTAGGGGCTCCTGGCCATACTACTAGAAGCATTCTTGCTACTAGTAACAAGGTTCGCTACTAGGAACAAGTGCATCGCTACTAGTAACAAGTGCCTTACTAGTAGTAACAAGAAGCTACGAACGTAACAAAGGGCATCGCTACTAGGAGCAAAGACGCTACTAGGGGCTCCTGGCCATACTACTAGAAGCATTCTTGCTACTAGTAACAAGGTTCGCTACTAGGAACAAGTGCATCGCTACTAGTAACAAGTGCCTTACTAGTAGTAACAAGAAGCTACGAACGTAACAAAGGGCATCGCTTTGGTTTGTTTCGTCGACGTCTTGAGGCCACGGACTTCCTGGGTCTTCAGATCTATCGCTCTTTGCTACAGTCGGGAAGCAAGAATATCGACACACTAGTAGCGTCCTTGCTCCTAGTAGTAAGGCCAAGAGCCCCTAGTAGCTTCTTGTTCCTAGTAGCATTGCCAGCCTATTTACTGTAATTACTTCTGATTTTTCAGCCTTTCCTTTTCCTTCCTTTCAATTCGGATATACCTTTCCAACACGCCACAAAAACCAGCGGCTCAGGTGGGGCCGACACGGCGCAGCGCTCGCTGCGAAAGAAAGGCACTCACCACGGCGTCAACCACGGCCACATGCGGTGCCACATGCGGTGCCAGACGTGGTGCCACACAGCGTGCCTTGCAGCGTGCCACACGCGGTGCCACAGAGTGAGCACCGCAAACATGACCGTGGAGCCCATCGAGCGCCTTTGGAACCTTTGGAACCTTTGGAACCTTTAAAGTGCGGCGCTTGGCACTCGCGAACATGCAATGGAACTTGTGAAACAGCATTCCTAGTAGGTTGGAGGCCATTGCTACTAGGGTGGAGAGGGTGGAGGCCATTCCCTGCCCTTGCTATTACGGTTGGGTTCTAAATATGTTCGGCTCGGCTTCTTTGAGCCACTGAAGGTGGCACCAAGAGGCAAGCAAAGACGACTTCAGCGAAGTAAAGGAAGATTTGCCAGAGAGGCCTTTGCATCTGGCATGTAACAATGTGGTTTTCATCGTGAATCATTCCCAACAACTAATGACTCGCTACTGTTTAGAGTTTCGAGGCTATCTTTACAATCTGGGTCCATCCTGGCTGAAGCTTTTGCATATCGGAAGATACTTGCGAGGGCAAGGATCCCGAAGACGAACTTGTCAAGCAGAAACAAGCAGTCGTGCAGAAATACAAGAACGCTACTAGGAACAAGGGCATCGCTAGTAGTAACAAGTGCCTTACTAGTAGAAACAAGGAAGCTATTAGAAGCAAGTGCCTTACTAGTAGTAACAATAAGAATTTAATTAGAATTGTAATTACTAGCAAAGGAATCTACTAGGAGCAAGGACGCTACTAGGGGCTCCTGGCATCGCTACGAACGGAGCAAGGGCATCGCTACTCTTTGAGGCCTTGACGTGGTGGACGCACCAGTTGCGCGTTCCAAAAGTAGTGGATCTACATGATTTGCATCGGCGGCAGGCACCAACTCATGCTCACAGTTTTGGTCTTGGAGGTATCCCCAAAGAAGGTCGACTTGATAATTTCTTTGCTCTTTTGGTTTTTTCTTGCTAATTCTCTTTCAGTGGTTCTTCTTACGTATGTCTTTCTTTTGACCCTTGGAACATTGTTTTACCTTTTTCTTCAGACCTTTCTCTCATTCTGAAGAACGTTTTTGGAACGGACAACGATGACCGGCTGGAACGAGTGGTCGTAGCGTGGACTCCCGCTCTTTAGACTACGAAGCGACAGGTCCATGCTGACCCCGACAGGTCGCTGTCCTTAGTGCTGTCCGTTCTATGTTCATCTATGTTCTTTCTGTTCTTAGTTAGTCTTAGTTCTTCCTCTTTTCATTTCTGTCTTCGTTACCCCTGACACAGAAGGTGCCTATGTATTTTTTTGTGTGTCCTTCCTTTTTTCTTTAGACCTTGTAGACGTCGTTCATGTTTGTTTGCTCCTTAAATATTACACTCGCCTCACTACACTACACCCACACGATGACGCTTGTCGGAGGCACTCAAGTTTTGGCACCACAGGACGACGTTGGACGCCCAGCACAGCCATTATTGTTACGTCCAGCCATCATAACAATGGAAAACATGGTTGAAATTTTCCAAGGTGTTTGTTGACATGTAATAAATTAGGTTGGAGGCCATTGCTATTAGGTACCTTTTGCTATTCGGTGTGCTTGCTGAAGAAAGTTGGAAGTGTATTCAGGTCACAAAAGCTGGCTGGTGCGCATCGTGCGCGCTGGCTTCGAACTCGATTGGAAGCTGTGTGGCAGGCACAGCATCCTTTTCTGTTTTCAAGTTTCACTGTGCACAGCGCCTTGAAACACCTGCCAGGTTTGGCTCGCATGGCATCGCAAGAGAGGAGTTGCTCGAGACTTGCGACTTTGTGATAGCATCAGTGTGTTGTTGTATCGATTTGCCAGTCAGGTCATTGCTATGCGCAGTGGTCCCCAGATGTTGGCATCGTGGCGATGGCTGCGTGTTCATGCGGCAGCACATCCCACAAGGCCAGAATCAAGCTGGGAGTTCCTCCACAGTTGCAAAGTTGCTACTCTTTCAACTTAGGCCGCGTTTGCACCTTTCGGGGGTTCAGCTGCGGGATGGCGCACCATGGCCTGGGCCCTTGAAAAGTCAAGAGAATCCAAGCAAAGGATGCAAAGCCGAGTGGGAACGCAAGGGTTCCTGTGCTACAGGCAGCAAGTGACCGCAGCAGAGATCCTGTTTGGCTCTGCTCCCTTTCAAGTCCATCCGCACCATATGAAGGCGCCCTTGCATGGTCAACGCAGCAGATGTGTGCATAGCCACGCTTTCTGCGGAAGTGAGGTTATGCAAGAAGACATCCTGATGATCTTCGCAAGCACGCTCTTGAAAAAGATGATGGCTGCATGGGTTCATGAGGTGCTCCACTATTCTAGTAGCCAGGATTTTGTGCAGATCTGGTTACCTCTAGGTGCAAAGCATCCGCATGCTTTTTGAGCAAGCAAAGCGGCGAGAGAAGCACAGATCTATGGATGCTTGGAAGGCCAGGGTCCTATCAGATCTAAACAAGATTCATGCATCAGTGCCGCCAGAAAGACACGCACGCCGTACAATTGTTATGTACTCTGATGCTGGCAGGGAGCAGCCACAAGATGTCGACGTTTGCGTGAGCACCAGCTGCGTGCAGGAATCCAAGTTTTGTTTCAGCCAGGCTTGCCCAGAATTTAGTACGAGTTGAGGTCTCGCATCAGAGATGTAACCAGACTCTGGCTCGCGCGATACGACTCTGGGAACAGAGGCTGGAGTTATGAAACACATGACAAGTAAACGATGCTTCAAATGTTCCGGAGTCAAAAGTCTGGTGCCCAACTTAGCAACTTGTTAGTGATTTGTTGTGCAAGGTGGTCGAAGTGGGTTCAGCACCGGCGGAGTTTGCAAGAATTTGATGTTGCTTGCTGGCATCGAATCTGCCGGAGGCTATTCTGTGTGTCCTGCATTCTCATCAAAAACGCTGTGAATTGTTGGCAGCTGCTTTTCACGCTTTGCCAACAAAGCCAAAACTGAAGGGCCATGGATGCTTGGATCAGGGTTGTGCAATTGGAAGTCCGACACTCAGATTGGTTCCAACTATGGTAGTAACATTTTAGCGGGGTTACTGTAACCAGTGGCTGAGCATGGGCTTAAGCGTTTGCACAGACGCGCTATTACCTCTTGATTCTGAAGGAACTCTGAAACCAGCCAATCAATTGATTGAAAGATTTGTTTGCCAAACAGACGCCAAATAGCGAGAAAAGGAACGCAAGCGAGCAGGCTGCGTGCACAGCAGATCACAGCAGCTAGTGGGTTGGAGGCCATTGCTACTAGGTTGGAGGCCATGGCTACTAGGGTGGTGGCCATGGCTACTATGGTGGAGGCCATGCTATTAATTAGGTTGGAGGAGGCCATTGCACTTAGGTTGGAGGCCATCCCTACTAGGTTGGAGGCCATCGCTTCTAGGTTGGAGGCCATCGTTCTTAGGTTGGAGGCCATCGTTCTTAGGTTGGAGGCCATCGCTCTTGGGTTGGATAGCCATCGCTATTAGGTTGGAGGCCGTCGCTATTAGGTTCCTTGTGCTATATGTATGTAATGTATACACCCCCTTCTTGGGGTGCGGAGTACTTGCAGTATGCGTGGGCTGTCCCTCCTTCGAGTCCTGTTTGGTTCCAGTTTTGGTGGATTCATTGTTGTTTGTATCTCTCTACTAGGAAGCTAGTAGTAACAAGTGCCACGCTAGTAGTAACAAGTGCCTTACTAGTAGTAACGAAAAAGCTATTTGAATTAAAGTTCATTAGATTTCATTTCACCGCACACCACTCTGCTTGTCTAATTGCATCTCAACCCAAATCTCAAATGTTGCTCGCTTTACTTGGACATGAGTTGATTCATACACCTGTTGTTGGGGTTGTTTTCACCTCCTCATGTTTTGATCTCGACCTGCTACTATGCTTCAACCGTCGTACCCATGTTGTTTTGAATTTGGCCCTGTCATCCCTCCTCTAAATATCGGCCTTGCGAGGTTGCTCCAAGCAGGAACATCACTGCTTCGCCAATTTTTCTGGTTTTGAGACTTGTGAAACGAAGCGATGGCCTCCACCCAGGAGCCCCTAGTAGCTTCTTGTTCCTAGTAGTAAGGCCAGGAGCCCCTAGTAGCGTCCTTGCTCCTAGTAGTAAGGCCAGGAGCCCCTAGTAGTGTCCTTGCTCCTAGTAGTAAGGCCAGGAGCCCCTAGTAGTGTCCTTGCTCCTAGTAGTAAGGCCAGGAGCCCCTAGTAGCTTCTTGTTCCTAGTAGTAAGGCCAGGAGCCCCTAGTAGCGTCCTTGCTCCTAGTAGTAAGGCCAGGAGCCCCTAGTAGTGTCCTTGCTCCTAGCAGTAAGGCCAGGAGCCCCTGGTAGCTTCTTGTTCCTCCTAATATCAAGGAGAAAAAGGAGAAACGAAGGTCCCTGTCTTTTCACAAAACTTTCCCTCGGTGCTTATCAGGCAGGTGTTCATTCTGAAATCAGATTGTATAGTACAGTGCGTAATGCAAAAAGACACAACCTTGTCTAGGGTTTTGTGAAGGATTGCCTTTGGGTGGACGAAAAAAAGAGGTTTCTTTCCACACGAGGCTTCTGGCATATGACAGCTGATTCAAGAAACGATCCCAGAAGCTGTTTCAACTGATGATTTGAGAAAAAGGGCTGACAATGTCTTATCAAGCGGGACTTTGGTGAAACTTTTCCTGGCTTTGCTGTTGGCAGGTTTGGAAACTGCCTCATTCCGATGTAAACAACTAGGGATCCTTTTCATTAGGGGAAGACCCGGGTAGCACTGGGTAGCATGCATGTTCGGCTTAGCTTCTTGGGAAAATGTGTTGGTTTCCTCAACTACCCCTTTACGAGCACTCACGACGTTCTGCCTCTAGAATTTAGAAGCAAGAGTGATGGAGTAACAGTTCAGAAAGAGAACAAAAAAGACGATGCAATGTTTCACTGCGATACAACGTGTTTCTCTTTCGAAACACTCTCTTGTTCAAAGAAGGCATATTTGCTCCACTTCGCCAATCCGGGTAGGTACATGATTCCACCATGATCGGGTCACTTCTTTTGCCTGTGGTTGCAGTGCCACTGACCCCTTGTATCTGCCAGAGTGAAGTGGAATACGACATGCAAAGGAATCGCTGGGCCACACATGCAACCTTTGCCGCAAAGGATTTTTAACCCCCGGTGCTGGGGGCCGAACATGACGCATCCCAGGTGCAAAGCGTCCGCATGCTTTTTGAGCAAGCAAAGCGGCGAGAGAAGCACAGATCTATGGATGCTTGGAAGGCCATGGTCCTATCAGATCTAAACAAGATTCATGCATCAGTGCCGCCAGAAAGACACGCACGCCGTACAATTGTTATGTACTCTGATGCTGGCAGGGAGCAGCCACAAGATGTCGATGTTTGCGTGAGCACCAGCTGCGTGCAGGAATCCAAGTTTTGTTTCAGCCAGGCTTGCCCAGAATTTAGTACGAGTTGAGGTCTCGCATCAGAGATGTAACCAGACTCTGGCTCGCGCGATACGACTCTGGGAGCAGAGGCTGGAGTTATGAAACAAATGACAAGTAAACCATGCTTCGAATGTTCCGGAATCAAAAGTCTGGTGCCCAACTTAGCAACTTGTTAGTGATTTGTTGTGCAAGGTGGTCGAAGTGGGTTCGGCACCGGCGGAGTTTGCAAGAATTTGATGTTGCTTGCTGGCATCGAATCTGCCGGAGGCTATTCTGTGTGTCCTGCATTCTCATCAAAAAAGCTGTGAATTGTTGGCAGCTGCTTTTCACGCTTTGCCAACAAAGCCAAACCTGAAGGGCCATGGATGCTTGGGTCAAGGTCCTACAATTGGAAGTTCGACACTCAGAATTGTTGCTGGTATTTGTTAAGTCTTTGGGTTTTAGCATGTTTCAATGCACTACCATTGAGAAGCATGTCATCATGAGATATCGTGAGCCCCATGTTCTTGCCATGTGAACAAGAGCGGCCAGCAGCCAGTGAAGACATGTGTCACACAGCATGACACAAGCACAGATCCATGCAGGGCACATATAAAATCGTATAAACATTCTCGCTTTTGCCTTACCCACAAAAGGTTGTACTTGGGAGAACAATTTTGCTTGATCATGTGTCACGTGAAGAGCACAATGAGGCCATTGCTGCAAAAGTGAGAAGTTCGTTGAATTTGCGATTGCAGCTGATGGTGTTCCAGGCTGAAAGAATTCAACTCGTGTCAGCTTTGTCCTGTTGACACTTGGTTCATATTGCCTCCAGGTTTGGGTAGCACAGTGGCATCATGACCGCAAGGCACTGTCGATTCTGGATCCAAATATGTTGAGAACAGTTAGGCACTTTGAACGTTCCATAGTGTTGTTTATGAGTTTAAGCTGTGTTCAATGCAGTTCGCAGGAATCTGTATTGTTACGCCTCTCCGCACTGTTCTTGCGGAAGCGAGGATTTCTGCAGCTTTTCTCAAGTTCATGCAGCTTTTTGGCTGACCCATATTCACGTTCGTGAGCACAGGACTTAAATGTGGTGTACGAGCTTTTCAGCGGAACGCCGGTGGCTCAAATCCATCGTTTTCTTGTTCTTTGCGTACTACCTTGTGTGGTGTAAAGTATCCTTCCTGGGGATCCAAGGTGTGCTCCGAAACGCGCAAGAGAGCCCTTGCAGAGGCGCTAATTGTTAGCCCATGCAGTTTCTTTCACAGACAAATGGTATGCATTCAGTAACAAGTGCATCGCTACTAGTAACAAGTGCCTTACTAGTAGTAACAATGTAAGCTACTATAATTTATAAAGAAAGACCAAAACCTCTGAATCCTCTCCGAAGCGTCGTGCGAAGTTGGAGAACGTGAGGCCCAGGAAAGGTTTCGATTGGAAGCCGAACTGGACCGCCGAAAAGTGGCGAAGGCATCGCACTCGCCAAACATCTCTTTTTTGGTTTGTTGAGTGTGTTTGTTCTTTTTTAACCTAGTAGTACGGCCAGGAGCCCCTAGTAGCTTCTTGTTACTAGTGTAACAACTGTTTAGTGTTGTTTTTTCTTTTTTTTCAGCCAGGGGGGTAGGCTGCTAGGAAACCCCTAGAAGAGGTAGCTAGTAGCTACAAGTAAGCTACTACTGACAGGACGCAGGATAGCTCACGCTTCTTCAAGGAAGCTCCCCGCGAAAACTTCTTTGAAGAAGCGCTCGCACGAATGATTTGGTTCCTAGATTTTTAGGGAAACTTAAGTGATGGCCTCAACCCTAGTAGCGATGGCAGAAGGAGTTCCTATAGGTAGTGAAAAACAGTGCCACCGAAATGCTTAGCGTTCTCAAGATGTTAAGCTGCAAAGATCCGGGAATCCCAAACCTTCCGTTGTTTCTAGTAGCGTCCTTGCTCCTAGTAGTACGGCCAGGAGCCCCTAGTAGCGTCCTTGCTCCCAGTAGTACGGCCAGGAGCCCCTAGTAGCGTCCTTGCTCCTAGTAGTACGGCCAGGAGCCCCTAGTAGCGGCATGTGTATCAAAAAGAAATTAATTACTGAATCAAAAAAAAGTTATTTACGTAATCAAAAACAAATTAATTAACTAATCAAAAAATAACTATTTTCCTTTCCCGTCTCTTGTATGCTTGCTCCTGGTCCACATGGTCGTCCTGGTCCCCTTGGTCCCCTGGTCCCCTTGGTCCCCTGGTCCCCTTGGTCCCCTGGTCCCCTTGGTCCTCTGGTCCCCTTGGTCCCCTGGTCGCCTTGGTCCCTGGTCACCTCGTCGAAGGGAAGGGAAGGGAAGGAAGAAAAGAAGGGATCCAGGTAGGAGGCCGGCGCCTCGTCTGTACACGCGAAAAGTGACTCATCTGTACACGCGAATGATATACCTCGTCTGTACACGGGGAAGCGCTGCTTCAAACTCACTCTCGCTCTCACTCTCACTCACTCTCACTCACTCACTCTCACTCACTCTCACTCACTCTCACTCACTCTCACTCACCCTCACTCACTCTCACTCACTCTCACTCACTCTCACTCACTCTCACTCACGCACTCACGCACTCACGCACTCACGCCCTCACTCACTCACTCACTCACCCACTCACCCACTCACCCACTCACCCACTCACCCACTCACCCACTCACTCACCCACTCACTCACTCACTCACTCCTTTGATTGCTGACCGAATCACTCGTTCCCTCACTTTCGTTCTCAGACACTCGTCACTGACTCAGTGACATGACTTACTCACTCATTCACTCGCCACCCCAACTTGACTCACCCTTTTGTGGGCAACGCAGGGCTAAAATTTAGACAGGGAAGTGGCCATGCCAAGTTGACTCACCCTTTTGTGGGCCATGCAGGGGTAAAATTTAGAGAAGGATGTTGCCATTTCAACTTGACTCACCCTTTCGTGGGCAGGGTAAAATTTAGAGAGGGAAGTGGCCAGTCCAACTTGACTCACCCTTTTGTGGGCCATGCAGGGGTAAAATTTAGAGAGGGAAGTGGCTATGCCAAGTTCACTCACCCTTTTGTGATGCAGGGGTAAAATTTAGAGAAGGATGTTGCCATTTCAACTTGACTGACCCTTTTGTGGGCCATGCAGGGGTAAAATTTAGAGAAGGATGTTGCCACTTCAATTTGACTCACCCTTTGGTGAGCCACCCGGATGTTGCCATTTCAACTTGACTCACCCTTTTGTGGCCACGCAGGGATAAAATTTAGAGAAGGATGTTGCCATTTCAACTTGACTCACCCTTTTGTGACACACAGGAAGATTTGAGCGGAAACTTGGCTTTTAAAAACTAAAGCTGCTGCTGTTCTAAAAAAGAGGCCAGAAAGCCAGGAAGAGATAGGAAAAATGATTTAATATAATGTGCGAAAAAGGTAGCAGCGGCACCCGAAGTCCGCAAACACGAAAACAAGAGGGCGCACTGAAGCGCCGCGGCCGCGCCTTTTGCAAGGCAACTGCCCTCCCAGTCTTGAGAGGGAACGACGGTAAGTGAAGGTCGAAAACAGTTCGAACTGCCGAAACACAAGTGCACAGCGTGAACTTTACATGGGGGAGAGTCCTTCGTCATCACCCCAGTTCCGCTGTTCGAACCGGTCCAGCCATTGGTAGACCAAGGTCCGCACAGATGAGCCTGACCGATCATCGACAAGGTCAGGTGGAATCACCCTCAAACTACAAAGGCGGCAGAAATCTACTCGCCGCTGCAGGCTTTCATCTCTTCCGGCCAGGCTTGAACAGTTCAAGGTCGTGTGCCATCTGGCGCCATGCCGGCTGATGATCATGCCATTGTAGAAGGGGCATTCATTTCCATGCTCATCCATCTGCCTCAGGGCGATCTTCAGGATCTGGGAGGCTTCCTGTGCAAGGGTCTCAGCAGCATTCTGGTTTCTCAGAACCAGATTCATCGCTGTCGTGGCTTCGACAGCAGCAAGGCGGGACTCCTCGGCTTTGGAACTCCAGCGCAGGACTTCCTGCTTCAGGCGTTTGACTTCTTCTCTAAGGCGAGCTGGGATGATCGCTTCATCCTTTTGGACTGCAGCCTCAGTGACCTGGGGTGGTACTTGGTGGTGTGCATCATGGCTCCATCGACCAACCATGAAGGCTGTGCTCAAAAAAAGTAGAAGGAGGGTGCGCAAAACAGTTCCAAACCAATCCATTCCAGCTTCAGGTTCCACATTGGCCGAATCGGCCGTGACCAGCTGCGGGGCCATGAACAAAAGCAAAAACCAAAACATGAAATTCGTCTTACGACCGCGGTAGGACTCGAGCGGGCGGCTTCCGACATGGCTCGGACTGTCGGAGACATACTCAAGCTTCCGGTCGGTCCTGACAAACATGACATTCACAGGAACCTTGGAATTCCGAAAAATCTCTTCATTCCAAAACACCTGCTCATCGACATTCACGTCATTCTCCGCAGGATTCTCGTCGATGGGCTGCTGGTGCTCCTCGTGGAGGTTGGGTTCCTCATTGATCACATGTGGTGGTACCACATGGATGCTTTCAGGTTGCTCATTGATCACATGTGGTGGTACCACATGGATGCTTTCGGGTTCCTCATTGATCACATGTGGTGGTACCACATGGATGCTTTCAGCAAGACTCTGTTGGAGCTCAGCTTTTGTCTTCTTCTTGGCAGCTTTGTATGAGGGGTCCCAAACAAGCTTCAAACGACCGTGACGTAGCCGTTGTGCAAGAAGTGCTCTGGCCGACTCTTTTGTCAAACCGTCAGCCAGTTGGCGCTCCGATGACATCCACCTCAAAGAACCGCCCAGTGAAGACAGGCGATCCTTCATCACACGGATCTCAAGCGAAACTCGCTTGTCAACCACAGAGCTTCCGACTCCTTCTCGGTGATAGGAGTCGTAAAGGGCTTTGGCGTCCGTGATCATGGTGGGCGACAACAAGGATGGAGCGTCCAAGAGCTCTTGGAGTCGCTGGCGAGGGTCAACCAACAGGCTCCAGTAGATGCTGGCACGCTCCAAGGCATCGCAAGCTTGACCACCGCTTTGTGCTTCGGCGCCCAAGGAAGAGCGTGCAACTCTTGGCGTTTTCAAACTGCGCCAATCCAACACGTGGTAGGCTCCTTCGGGACCATTGGCCTGAAGCAAAGCTTTGTTGACCATCAGGATCACATAGCCAGCTTGTGAGGCTCCGTCACTGCGGGTGGCAAAGGCAGCATCAAAAAAACATACCAAACAAAGTTCTGAAACTTCGCCCAGGTGGCTGTACTGTAGGCCAACATCAGCATTTTCTTTTGCAAAACGCAGCAGGCGATTTGTGTCGGCCACTGTCTGAAGCGTGGCCTTGGTGACATGACCGCTCAGGATCGAGGTGCTGCTCTGCAAGTGAGGACTGCTTTGAACTGCGGGCCATTGAAGTGAACCAAGAAGTCCTCTCAGCTGTGTCAACTCACGCTGATTGAGCGCATCGGTGAGGCTGCGCTTCTTGTCGTAGGTGATCGGTTTCACCTTTCCCATGTAGCTGGTCTGGTTGAGGAGGAGACCATCATCCTTGACTTGAATGTCACAACCACAATAGGTCAAGGGCTTTCCATCATCACCAGTTTTCCATTCACGGAAGTTGAAGGTGCTCTTCAGCTTGGTGATGGTGTCGTTGTAGCACTGGGAGGATGGCGAACCGCAACCAAGCATGTCATCGACGTGCATGATGACCATACCACATAGGCCATGAGGTCCAAGCAGGTTGGAGTGCTCAGCTGTGGTGTCATACTCAGGGTTGAGGTCACCTTCATAGATCAAGAAGCAGCAAGGGTCTTGAGGATGCTGTCGGAGGCCCATAGCGCTCAGCTTATCAACTGCAGCCATGAACCAAGATCTCGGGGCATCGATCTGGCCGTAGCAGGGCTTGAGAAGCAACATACGGGTGTCAGCTGTAGCTCCAAGCAACTGCAAACACTCTTGAGGAAGCTGCGCCCACAACTTGCGTGTCTGAGGTCGACCCTGCAGGAAGGCGGTTGCTATGTCTGAAGTCCAGATTGGCCACTGCATGGTGGAGGCCAAACTCAACAACATGGATCTCGACAGCCTCGTGGTTGTGGGCGATGAGGTTGGAACAGTTCCTTGCCAAGCGTCTGGGTCCATGAAGCCTCTGACAATGAGCCTGGCTTTGGCACGGGGGCTGCCATCAGGATTCTTTGACCACTTCAGCAGCATGCGACTGGTCAGCGTCCGACTGGGCTCAGCTTCTCTGGTGGTCTCGAACTGCCAGACGTGGTTGTCAAAGAAGGATTGCAACTCTTTGACCTTTGCAGCTTTGAAGGCTGCTCGCTCATCAGGAGTCATGTGGCGCTCCGAGAGGTTGTTCTTGTTCTTGTCTTTCTTGAAGCTTTTGGCGTGCCGGAGTTTGGTCTCCTTGCCAAGCTGTCGTGCTCCTTGAAGTGGGGCCTTAGCGAACATAGCCATCTCTCGAC